GGGCAGGCTGTTATATGTCTGCTGGGAAGAGTGAGGCAGAGGCAGTGTGTGGAGCCTCTGTGTGTGTGTATACACATGACCCCAGTCAGGCCCCCCTCCCTGCTGCTCCAGGCTGGTTGCAACGCTGCCCCAGCCGCTCCCAGGAGGGAGGCATGGCATCCTTTCATCTGCAGCAGGATGGAGAGTGGCTGGAGCTGGATAGAGCTCTCCTCTTGCTGGCCCTGCATCATCCCCCCGCCCTTTGGCTTTGATGATCAGCCTCTTCATGATGAAACACCCAGACCTGGGAATTCAGAGCTTGAGCTGTGTATTGCACATACGAACACAAAAGCATGCATACATGCATGCAAACACAACATACACAGGCATGCATGTACACATAATCCACATTAATACACAAATACAAACACGAATGTACATGCACATGCATACACAAACATGCACACATGCACGTGCAATGAGTCTGAATCCCCAACTGCAAATGGCCCTGGGGAAGTAGCCTGCATGCTGGGAGGAGCAGGGATTTTGCAGCAGGAACTTAATTCTCCCCAGCCTATGGGTGCCTCATCCCACAACTGCAGCTGGAGGGCGGGTGGATGAAGCAAGCGCTCCTGCTGACGGTGGCAGGCAGGCCCCAGTGGCCTCATGCTCGGCAGGCGGACGGGGGGGGGGGGGGCCAGGCTGCCCTCATTGGTGGCTGCTAAATTTAGGAGCCTGATTATAGTTTGGGGTTTGGAAAGGAGAGAGGAAAATTCCCATCGAATAGACACAGGGCGTGAGTGCACGTGCGAGACAGAGACACATGCAGTGTGAGTGTGTGAGACACATGCACACAGTGTCACACTCAGAGTCACATACACAGGCAGTTACACAGGCAGCCTCACACACACAATCATACACAAAATCTGTGTCAGTCTCTCTCTCTTATACACAATTTCAGTCTCATATACACAGCATCTCTCTCCCACCCACACACACAGTCCCTCTCTGTCAAGGGCCAGCTGGCTCAGCAACCCTGCAGAGGGAATCCACCCCCAACTCTGGTGACCCTGCCCATCCCCCCTGTGCTCCTGCTGACTCCCTGTGACAGGTGCTGTGTGTTAAGTGGGTTGGGAGCAAGGGAACCAGACTTCCAGTGCAGGGGAGGTCCTGGGGGGGATCCCCATGGATGGTCCTCTGGGAGGGGCAGTATAGTGCTTGAGCTTCCCAAAAAAGCCCAGGGGGCACTAACTCAGGGGCTGGTGTGAGGGGGATATCTCAGCCCATCCCACCGCTGCCATGGGAACAAAGTGTGGGCCTGTATCTCACACTCAGACTCCCCAGCAGCATCTCCTTGGCACACCCCCCATTTCTCCTCTGCAAAAAGAGTGGGCGGCCAGAGCTCCCAGCTGCTGCATTCTCCATCCTGCCCTGACATTGAGCATCTGAAAATAACTCCTTCCATCTTTGGAACATCCCCCAGGGGAGAGAGGGTCTGAGCCCTGTGCTACCAGATGGGGAGGGGAAAGGGGCCCTGATTCTGGTCTCCTGGCAAGAGAAGAATTGGGCTCAATGCCAACCTGATGTCTCTGCTGAGACATTTAGCCTCCTACTCCCACTCCTGGAGCATCATTCAAAGTGTGTGTGTGTGGGGGGGGGGGGGGGGGGAGTAGCAGCAGACATCTAGCAAGGAGTCAGCGGTTACACCACACATGGAAAGAGGACAGGGTGGCCTTTCACTCATGTTTGCTGCTGCTGTTCTGCCTACATTAGCACTGGGGTTCCCCACCACTCCTGCACAGTGCCAGTAGCACCGGCTGCGTAGGGGGAGCTCCCCCATACCCATGCTCCCCTGGAGTTCCCCACCATCCCTGTACCAGCTTCCCCCCAGCCTACTGCTCCCATTGTGTCTCTTCCCGCCCCCCACCTCCTGCCACCCACCAGTGGTGTGTTTACAGACTCCCTCCCGCAGCCCAGCCGTTTCTCCAGGCCTGTCTCAGTGGTGGAGAGGGAGGGCCAGGCGAGCAGGTGTCTGCTCAGACAATGGCGCCGCTTTGTTGGGCTGCAGGGGGAGGGGGTGGGGAAAGGAGAAGGAGAAAGAGAAAAAAAAAAGGTCAGCAGAGAGCTTCCCTTACACTGGGGGATGGAGCCTGGGCTGCATCTTCCAGCTGACAACAGTGTGGAGGCTGCCAGGGGTTGTGGGGGCATGTAATGGGGGGAGTTTGTGGCACTGGGGCAGTGATTAGAATACTGCCAGGATGGGAGCATTTGAGATGTAGGGGTGTCTGTGGGGAAAGAGGGAGGAATAGATGGATGGGACGGGGAGATGGATGGATAAAGGATGTGTATGGGGAGATGGGGGGGTGTATGGAGATGGAGGAATTCAGAGGCATGTGCATGGGGATGCAGAGGCAGACAGACACTTGTACATGGGGTGGTGGCCAGGGGCAGGGGGTTGCCAAAGCTATAAGCAACTAGAAACAGGGTCTCATAATGGGAAGTATTGGGTAAACTTCTCTACCAGCTCTGCCTGTACTACTTAGCTAGATAGATGGATGGATAGTTTAGAGGGGTATATATGGGGATGGATAGTGTTCGCTCCACTGTTGCTGTTGTCTCTAAACACAACACTAGCTGGGCGAGCCAGGGTCCCTACAACATCAGGGGGAACCAGGGACTGGGATCCCCTTCTGCTCACCCCACCCGGCCAGGGCCTGGAGATGGCTGCTACAGTGGAAGCTATGCAGTCTGCCAAATCCCTGGGCATTGTGTATGTTCCTGTTCCCATCCCCAACCCGTTCTGTGCCGCTTGAGCCAGGTGGTTTGCTGGTGGTCTGCAGAAATCAACCCCCCACTTCCTCCCTCAATCACATCCAACATCGTTAGCCCTTGAACAGACCCATCAATACAACACAAGCTAGTTGGACCTAAACATCCCATGGCCTGGTTCTCAGCCACAGCCCAGAGAGACATGCTCAGGGCACAGTGGATATGAAACACCAGCAGCACAGAATGGCAGTGCTGGGCACTTGCTTTGCACAAGATGAAGTGGGCCCACTGTATTTGTGTTTGTGTGTGCTAGTTGTGTGTGATATATGTGAGCTGATTGAACTGGTTTTGTGCACGTGTTGATTGTGTTTGCTGCTTGTGTGAGTTGGTTGTGTGCACACGAGTGTTGGTGGGTTTTGTGCACTGATTGCATGTATTCAGCATAGTCCTATTCCTGATCTGAGGTTCTGCTATGTGGTGTAAATCTGGAGTAACCAATTTACATCAAAGTAACCCAAATAAGTACCTGACTCCTGCATTCCAATCCAGCTAATCAGCTGGGAAACAAGCAAATCTCCAGTCAGCTCCCAGAGGGCCTCCCCCCATACCTACCCAACCCCCAGCAATACCAGCACTGTGAAGGGACAAACAGCCTATGCTAGAGAGTAGCTCAGCACCCAACCTACTAGATGATCACAGAGTCTAGGGATAAACAGCTTCTTCTCTCACCCCCTGCTACTTTCCCTTGTACTGGAGAGGGATCTGGTCTGCTTTTTTGCACCTCAGAACTTTATGCAAAAGTGGGGGAAGGTTTAAAACCAGCTGGCAAAATCCAGCTATTAGCAAAAATGTGCCTTAAAATCTCCATTGGATTATTAACCCCTTTGATCCCTTCCTGAGGTTGGGGGTGTGAGTAGGACGTGAGTTTATTCTTAATATTGTTAGCATGGGCCAAACAATGTATTTTTCCCTAATCTCATTCTCAGGAATGGCTGAACTGTTTTTGCTGAGATTTGCCAAAAAAGTTCTTCCTGAGGCAGACACCCAGCATGGAAAATTTCAGGTTGAATGGTTAAAGTTTGGCAAAGTTATAAGCAACTGAAAACAGGCTCTAATAATGGGAAGTGTTGGGTAAGTATGAGCTCTGCCTATACTACTTAGATAGATTTGAGTTTTACTTGAGGATGTCCACTTCTCCTTTATTTAAAGTGCCATTGAACAGCTGCTAGGGTATATTTTACACCCCCCCACCCCCATGTGTTCCCTGGGGTGGCTATCCAGTGACAGGAGGGCTAGAAAGGTAAAAAGAAAAAAAAATCGAAGGAAGCATTAATTTACTTGACATAAACATAAGAAAACAATGGTAATACTGTGCTAATAAATATATTACAAGGGATTCTCCTAGAAGTGATAGGCTGAGAGAATAGATGTTATAGACCTATATCTAGCTATCCATCTGTTCCTATACACACCCCTCTATCTACCTACCTACCATTCATCCCCATACATACACCTCTATCTATTGATCCATCTATCCATAAATATCCATCTATCACCCCACATACCTCTCCATTTATCCATCTCTGTCTCTCCCCATATATACTCCTTTATCTAATCTATCTCTCTATATACATATTTAAATCTATGTATGCATATCTATTCTATTCATCTATCCATTTATCTATATTCATTCACATACGCTAAGCACATCTGGTCCAAGAAGGCATACAGTGCAATAGGCAGAAAGGGGAGGGTGTGTACTGGGTGGGGAGAAATATACCCATTGAAAAAGCTAGGTCCTCTAGCCTGCTGGGGTGGGGGCTGTCTCCATAGGTGCTGGAATTAGGGGTGCTGGGGATGCTGCACCCCTTGACTTGAAGTGGCTTCCATTCTATTCAGGGTTTACAGTTTGGTTCAGTGGCTCTTAGGACCCCTACTATAGAAATGATTCCAGCACCCCTGGGTGTCTCTGTCTCTGAACAGCCCTCCATTTCTCTCATTTTCTCTCTTTCATCCCTTCTGCAGGGAGAGTGGCATTTTAAAAGACAACATAAAGACCCACCCAGCAGCTCCTCTCATTCAGTACATCCCCCTCCTTACATACACATCTGGGCTCAACTCTCTCTCCCCCTCCTTCTGCCTGCCTCTTGCCCCTGCCTGCCCCCCTCTGGCCAGATGTGCATCCAGGCGGAGGGGTTCAGCTGGGAGGTGCTGAGGCCAGGGGAGCTGGAACTACTTTTCCCCAGCAGCAGCAAGCAGCAGGAGCCGACCGAGGAAGCTCCAGTCTGACTCTCATTGTGTGTGTGTGTGTGAGGAGAGACGGAGGCAGGCACCGGAGCTCCTGTAAAACCTCCTGCCCACGCAACTTTCCCACCAGGGTTCCCCCCTCCACCACACACACTGAGTCAACCCCCCTCTTCTTGCAGCATCCCCAGCCCCTGGAATCAGGACCCCCTACCCCATTTCCACCCCTTACTCCTGGAGGTCACTTTTATTTTTGTGCACAAGTTGCTACATCTTTGGAGGAAGAAAGAAGCCATAGAAGGAAACTGGGGTCAGATCGTCCCCAGGGGAGAGTTGGGGGGAAATCCCTAATTTTTAACCCAACTCCCTCCCCGTTTTTTGCATTTGGTAGGTTATTTTTTGCGGGGGGAGAAGCATCTGGAATTTCAGGTGTTGGGAGCAAAGGGGTTTGTTGGAAAATCGTCCCCCCCCCTCATTTCAGGGGAGTTTGGGAAACTTTTGAATGGGAGGAAAGATTTCAATCTGGGAAAAGAAACCCTGAAATCCTCCCCCCTTTGCAGGGAATTTTGGGGATCCCTCCACCCTGGGATCCGCCCCCCATGGATTTTTCTGGGGTTGTAAGTTTCGCCCCTTCGCTGTTTTAATTTTGGATTGTTTCAAGTCGCCACCGACCAGCGCGCGCGTGTCCTCCACCCTGAACCAGAGCTAAAGGGGGGGATTCCTGTGGTGGAGGGGGCCGCAAAGCAGAGGGAGCTGGGGGGGCAATGCCTTCCGTGATGGAAAAATCCGGCCCAGCCTCCGGGATCCTGTCGAGGAGCCGGGCGAAATCGGCCACCAATGGCAATCATCAGACCTCGGAGGATGAGAGCAGCGAAGAAGAGCATTCGCATGGTAAGTGCCAGACTGGGGGCACAGCTATTGTGCAAGGGGCAGGGAGCCAGCTACGGTCCACTCCACACACGGATCACGCGTGCGTGTCCCGGAACGGGAGCCGAGGATGATTCACTTGCTACACGCATGTGGACTGGGGGGTCGTGACACGCCACGAGCGTGGACTTGGTGGGGGCTCACGCCACGCGTGCGGTCGAGGGGGGGTCGTGGTGCGCCACGCGTGTGGACGGGGAGGTCACGCCACGCTTGCAGACCGCATCTTCCCGTGGAGGAGAAAAACTCCGCTGGAGTGAGAGGCCCTAAGGGTCAGGGATAGGGAGCTGGCGACAACTTCCCAGGTCTGGGGAAGTGACAGCGTGTGGCCCGGTTCCCCCAGAATCGGGAAGCGCGCGGGGAGGGAGGATGCTATCTCCCTAGTGACTTGAATTAACCCCACTTTCTAAGGCGTCTCAGGATCCCCTCCTCACCTGGCGTCCAACAGGGAGACGTGGTGACCGCCATGGCTCCTGGGGTTAGCCGGGGCGGCCCGGGACTAGAATACAGTGTAGAATACAACAATGCTGGAATATTATTTCTCCTGCAATCCTAGCTGGGGCCCGATCCCTGGGAGCGGCGGGGGACGACGACACACAGAACAACACTGGGGTGTTGGGGGGGGCAACCCCTTCCCAAACTTAGCCCCAGGGTGAGCAAAGGGGCGCTCCCGGCTGAACAAAGAGCTGGGGCATCACTGGAAGGTTGCTTTTCCTAACAGATTCGACCCCATTGTCCCCTGGCGCCCTCGTGTGTGCCTGCTGCCTCCCAGCGTCAGCCGGCTTTGTTAGCCCCCCTCCCCCCGCCGCACACCAGCGCCAGCAAGGGATGTGCTGGGGGGCTCCGAGGAGATTAGAGCGGCCGATTCCTCCCACCGGCCATGTGGAATCCGTTCGGGGAATGTGTGTGGGGGGACAGTTACGCCCCTTTGCTGCTGGCTCTGGGGAGGCACAAGCAACCCAGGAGTACGGGGTGGGGAGTCAACAGGGTGGAGTGCTAGTCTGCTGTTTGAACACCCTCCCTTGCCAGCCCTGTTAGCCCATCACTAAGGGGGGGGTCTCACCTCCGAGACCTCTCATGTTCTTCCTCCAAGTGTGCAGGGGGGTGGTGTCCCACCGCCCCCAGCTGGTCAAGATACTGGGAAATTCTGCCAAAGACACCCCCCTCCTCCCCAGCGAGAGCGCCTGTCACAACTGCGCTGCAGCCAGCCACCACCCCCTGCCGGGGGTGGGGTGCATCCTGGAGGGTGGGGGTTATATAGTGTTCAGGAAGGGGGTAACTACCTGGGTGGTACCCATCAACAGCTGGGAGCCCTTCCCATTCTAGCTTGCCTGTGGGTGTGGGATCCTCCTAGGAGCAGACCTCCCCCCACCACGTCCTCTCCCCATTCCCCCCCTCCCTTGCGTGTGTTTCTTGGGCCCCGTGCCGGAAAGTGAAAGCAGGGCAGCTCCTTGGCAGGCGCTGCCTAAATGCTTCCAGATCAGGCTGCAGCTGTGACAAGTCAGGCTTCCTGGGAAAGAGAGCCAGGGGTGGGGTGGGAAGTAGAGAGGGGAATGGGATAGTGTAGCCCCCCACCCTCCGTGGACCAGTGCGCCTAGGGCTAGATTGCTTGTCCAACTCTGATATGCAGCTGCCCGGGGGGGGGGGGGGGCCGCGAGGGCTGTTTATATACAGGGATCCCTGGCCTGGTGCTGGGATGCAGCCATCTCTGGGGAGGGCTGTCTGGGCTGATTAACAGCTAAACAAAGCTACACTGTAGTTTGGGAAGTGAAGGAGAAGCTGTACTTATTTGACCGAGTATTTAGGAAGAATGGTATTACCAGAGCTAGGAATTAATACTGCATTAGGGCCAGCACTGACTGGGAGGGTAGAGACCCCTAATGAGCCCCATCTCGCTTCATGCAGCACAGCGCCCCCTAGTGCTTAACTGGGGTCAGCACTGACTGAAGGTGAGAGCACCCCCTACTGAGCCCCCTGCCCAGCTCCCTGCAGCATAGCACCCCCTAGTGCTGCACTGGGATCTGCACTGACTGGAGGGGAGAGTACCCCCTACTGAGCCATCACTTCCTGCAGCATCTTGGGGGGGCCTCCCAACTAATCCATGTCACATCTCAGCCCTGTTCTATGGGAGCTTGGAACTCACAGGAAAGTCCAAGATTTCCCTCCCTTAGGGGAGGGCAGCTAGGGGTTGAGGGACTAACGCCTGGGTTCTCTCCTTCAACTGCAGCTGCTCCCTCACACCTGCCCCTCTCCTTCCCTTGTAGACAGCATGATTCGGGTGGGGGCAGATTACCAAGCTGTGATCCCTGAGTGCAAGCCAGGTAAGGGTACTGATGCTGTCTGGATTCCTGGGGAGGGCAGAGACAGCAGGGGGCACCACTCTTTAGAAATCCTAACTCCAGTCTCCCAGGATCAATGGCTGTACCCACCCAGCCTCACTCAGTGAGGGCTTGATGGGGGGAGCAGAGAGAGGAGTGGGGGGTTGGTCTGTCTGCAGGCAGCCTTCCCCCCCTCACATGTTGAGGGAGCCCCCTCCCCCAAGACAGTGCCTGGGTGGGGTTGAATGGGGGTGCTGGGCTTTATTAAGGTTCAAAAGGGCGGAGGAGCAGAGGGGAAAAGTGTACTCGCTTCCTCCATGCATGGTGCCTGCCCTCCCAATGCCCCACCTCCCCCATTACCAGGAGCAGAGCAACATACTCTGGGCCTGACTGTGCCCATAGTCTCTCCTCCCCACACTTGTGCATTGGCACAGCAAGAAGCTTTTCCTGGCATAGAGCTACAGCTGCCTCCGCTGCCAGCTGGGCTGCTGGGGGGCTCAGTACAGTTGCTTTTCTCTCACTGTGGCTGTCGGTTGGGGTTGAGGGGCATCATCAGAGCTGTGCGGTGGGCGGAGCATAACGGGGCTGTGGGTCAGGATTGAGGGGCACTGGCAGAGCTGTGGGGTCTTGGTTCCTGCTGCCCTCTTCATTTTGTGGGGTGAATCCTAGAGCAGAGCAGGGGCTTGGGGGCTGTGATGTGTGGGGCCCAGGAGTGTCTGGCAGGGGGAGCTCTGTGCTGACCCTTTGTCTCCTGTCTGTCTGATGCAGAAAGCCCCGCTCGCTACAGCAACAAGGAGCTGAAGGGGATGCTGGTCTGGTCGCCCAACCACTGCGTGTCAGATGCCAAATGTGAGCAGCCCCTAGCCCCTATCATTAGCACATGGGCACCACAGCCAAGGCACCTGCTGGCTGTGGCTGTTCCCCCCTCCCGCTGCCCTGACTGGGCAAGGCACCAGCCCAGCAACCCCTCTCTCCCTCCTCTGGCACAGCAATGCCCCCTTCCCCTGCCAATCAATGCCCCAATCCAGCTCAGCACATGGCCCTCTCTTCCTCCCTGCCCAAGCGTAGCTCACTGCCTCTTTCCCCTGGCCCAGTGCACTGCCCATCTCTCCCATCTCCCACAGCCCCCTCGTTTGCCAGCCCAGCACGCTACCTCCTCCCCTCCCCAACCTCTATCCCCCCGGGCCCACCCAGCAACCTCCACAGCCCAGAGGGCTGTGCCCTCCCCACCCAGCAATACCCTTTGTCCCCCAAGCCCAGAATGCCTTTCCTAGCCCAGTGCACAGCTGCCCCCAGCAAACCCCTCCCCCCACGCCCAGTGTGCTGCCCCCCTTTCCCATGGGCAGCAAATCTCTCTCCCCCTTTCCTTGGCCTAGCAATCCCCTCTGCCCCACCCAGCATACTGCCCCCTTACTCCTCCCCTGGCCCCCACATGCTGCTCCTCCCCTCTGCTTTCCCCCACAGATGCTCTAGATGAGTCATTTCTAACTCTTCGGCTCTTGCTCCAGTGGGGTTTAGGACCTGGGGGAGATGGCCATGGCTTGCCCCCCTCCTTCTAGAGATATTCACTGCCCAGGACCCTGCTTCCCCATCCTGCAGGGCAGGGCAGGGTTGGGATCAGAGAAATGGAGTGGGGAGGGTCCACTCTGGGGATCAACTTCTTGCACTGCAGGGGTACAGGGGGAGTGTGGGCTTAGACAGAATGTCCCTTGGGTGAGACGGGGCAGGGGGGCTGGATGGTTCTCACACTTGCTGATCTCAGACCCCAACACAGAGAGACAAATATCCAGCCCCACAGCATCAGACACCCCCCTTGCATGCACACCCCTCAGGTACCAGAGATGCCACCCTGCGTGCACCCCTTGTGTATCACAGGTGCACCCCGCATGCATAACCACACATCAGACATCCCATTCGTGCACACCCCTGTGTATCAGACACTCACCCGACATGCATGCCCCCACATCAGACACACCCACCGTGCATGCACACCCCTTCCAGGCATGTCCCCACATGCACGCACCCTCCCCCCCCGGCCCTCTCTGGCACAGCTGTGCACACATGACTGGTATCAGACCCCTCCCACACATAGACTCAGTGTTAGACACTTGCCCTCCCCGCACATACACATTCAGTATCACACCAACCCCTGCCCAATACACACTTGGCATCAGACACCCCCTGCCATGCATGTGCTGTGCTGTCTCAGGCCAATCTGCACAGTGGATGTGATACGTCTGGTGGTGGGAATTGGGAGGGAAGGGAAGGGTCCTGCAGGAAGTTGTCCTGATGACTTGTCTCATCTCTTCTCTCCTGCCCAGTGGACAAATACATTGCAATGGCCAAGGACAAGCATGGCTACAACATTGAGCAGGTAGATTGCCCCCACCCCGCACACTGCATGGGGCAGCCGTGTGGGGGTAGATCCCACAGAATTTGGGCCTTTTGATTCTTGTGTCCCCCAGGTCCCAGGGATACAACCCCATCTTACCTCACCATGCCCTGGGATGCCTGACCTGGCCTCCCCCCAACAACTCCCCCAGGATTCTACCCCATCCTTGGGATACTTAACCCTCTTGCCCCCATCTCACCCACCCTCCATTGCCCTGGGGACGCTGACCACTCCTGCCCTGTTTCATCATCTTCCCCCACCTTAGGGACACATCTCCCCTACCCTACCTCCAGGACACAGCAAACCTCACCCTAGCTCATCTCCCTCATTCCATCCTGGGGATCCCCATCATCCCCATCTCATCGTCCCCTCCCCACCCTGCGGATGCTGCTGCCCCTCTCACCCCCCCATATCACCCCAGGCCCTGGGGATGCTGCTGTGGCACAAGCATGATGTGGAGAAGTCTCTGGCTGACCTGGCCAACTTCACGCCCTTTCCAGACGAGTGGACGGTGGAGGACAAGGTGCTATTCGAGCAGGCGTTCAGCTTCCATGGCAAGAGCTTCGCGCGCATCCAGCAGATGGTATGTGCCTATTACGCCCCCTCAGCCAGCAGATGGTGCTTGCAACTCACCCCTTGCAAACAAGCAGATGGTACATTCCACTGCACTCCTCTCCCCCATACAACCAGCACATGGTACCTACAATCTCCTTGCAGCTGGCACATGGTACCTGCCCCCTGTCGCACAACCAGCAGATGGCACCTGCCATCCCTCCTGTAGCCAACAGAATTGGCATATGCTACAATTGCCCCCCCAGCCATCACATAGTATGTTCCATGCATCCCCACCCAGCAGCCAGCAAAGATGGTACATGCCACCAACCACCACCTGGCAGCTAGCAAAGATAGCTTGTGCCACCCCCTACTCCCATAGCCAGTGGATGGTATGTGCCCCGCTCCCTCTGCTGCAGCTAATAGATAGTATATGGCATCCTCTCTTTCCTCCACAGTGACCAAATGGCATTTGCCACTGTCTCTCCCCCTGCAGCCAGCAGGTGGTATGTGCTAATGACTGCACTGCCCCCCCCTCCCCACACCCAGCTGATGGTATATGCCACCATGTCCCCATCTCCCCCTGCAGCCAACATATGTGATATATGCCAACCACTCTACCTTGTGTGATGGTGCTACCTCACCCCAAAGGGACCTGGCATGGGGGTGGGGACTTCCTGTACCCTCCATAGCTGGGAGCCCACCTTCCTTCCCATGGGGATCCTGGCAGGCTTCTCCTTCCTCTCCCCCTCCTACTTTTTCCCCATGCATCCCATCTCTCCTTCCCCCTGCATCTCCTCCCCTGCCCCCCCACATCCCCTCTCTCCCTCCAGTCTCTTCCCCCCACCAGCATCTGCTCTCCCCCTCATACCTCTGGCATCCCATCCCTCACCCCATCACTCCCCCCCAGCATCTCTTCCCACCCCTCGCCCACGCCCACTGCATCCCATCCCTCCCTCCTCCTGCATCTCCTCCCACCCCTGCCCCCCCGCATCCCATCTCTGCCTCCAGTCTCTGCCCCTCATACCCCTGGTATCCCATCTCTTCCTCCCCATGCATCTCCCCCTTCCCCACATTCCCATCCCTCCCTCCAGTCTCCCCTGCAGCAGGCATCTCCTTCCACCCCTCCCACACCCAGCATCCCATCCCTCTCTTGAGTCTGTCCCCTCAACAAGCATCTCCTCTTGCTCTCTCCCCTTCCTTGTCATCCCATCCCTCCCTGGACCATTCAATCTCCCCAAGCACCTCACCACTCCAATCCCAGATATCGTATTCCCCCCACTCACGCGCTTCAACCTCCCCACTCCCCCCAAGGAATCTGACCCCCCTCCCTTATCTGTCCCCAGCTCCCCGACAAGCTGATCCCCAGCCTGGTGAAGTATTACTACTCCTGGAAGAAGACAAGGAGCCGCACGAGTGTCATGGACCGACAGGCCCGCCGGCTGCTCAGCAAGAAGGAGAGAGATGACAGGTGAGGTATGGGAGGGGGGGGAGGTACAGGGGTGGGCAGGGTGGGGATTCTGGGTGAGGGAAGCAGGGCAGGCTAGATGGCCATGGAGGGGGTGGAGGGCAGATGGTGGGGACAGGGGGTTTGTGGTGAGGTTGTGGAGGGTAGGGGCTGGGGAGTCTGGTTGGGGGGCAGCCTGGGGTTCTTGGTACCATCCCCTCTAACCCATGCCATGCTCCCCCCCAGTAACGACGAGATGGAGGAGGGACGGGCAGCCAGCGAGGGGGAGTTTGATGCCATGGACCCCAAGAAGGAGGTGAGGGGTTGGGGGTGGGATGGCTCACAGGCAGGTGGGTGGGGGAGGGCACATCCCCACTTGCTTGGGCTCTGTGCTTTGAGGGGTGGGAGAGGGGACCCTGGGCTGCAGTGGATCATTAGAGGGCACTGTGCTCCAGGGGTCAGCAGGAGGTCAGTAGGGGGCACTGTGCCATGGGATGGTGTGGGGGGTGCTGTGCTGTAGGGGGTGTTGTGGGAGGAGCCAGTCCATGGCACTGTGCTGCAGCAGGGATCCCTAGGGGGCGCTGTATTCAGACCAGCTCCATTCCCTGCCCAGCCAAGCTACCAGAAGCTGCCGAGCAGCCGGCCGGGCCCAGGATCGGGCTCAGGGCCTGTGAGGAAGGAGGCGCAGCTGTCGCAGTATCGGCACCACCCACTGCGCTCACGCCGGCGCCCCCCCAAGGGCATGTACCTGAGCCAGGATGACATCGCTGGTATATCGGCCAGCCCTGACGTGGGCACCCTGGCACTGCGCCACCTCGACTCACAGCTCGTCTCCCTCAAGCGCCAGGTAACCCCGACCCCCCATCACACCTGCCAACCCCCCAGCCCTGCCATGGGCACCCTGGTGCTGCACCACCTCGACTCACAGATCGTCTCCCTCAAGTGCCAGGTAACCCTGACCCCCCCATCAGCCTATCAATCCCCCAGCCCTGATCTGGGCACCCTGGTGCTGCACCACCTCGAACTGCAGTTTGTCTTCATCAAGCACCAGGTAACCCCTGACCCCCTTTGCCCCCAGCTCTCGCTGACAGGCCCCTTCTCTCCCCATCCACTCAGGTCCAGTGCATCAAGCAGATCAACAGCAGCATGAAGCAGGCCCTGGAGGGTGGGATCGACAAGCTGCGGCCCCCCGAGGTGAGATGAGGGGCACCGACCCCCATGTAGGGGGAGGTGAGGTGCTGGGCCCAGCTCCCATGGGGCACAAGGGTTGGGGAGAGGAAGTGCGAGCCCAGTACCACCAGCCCCATGGGAGGGTGAGGGAAGGGGTGGGACCAGCCACAAGGGGAAGGGCAGGTCTGAGTCCTAGCCTGATGCTCTCCACTCTCCCGCCAGGGGAACGGCAAGTTCAACTCACGCTGGACAACAGATGAGCAGCTGCTGGCTGTGCAGGGTGAGCTGGGGCTGGGGGAGGAGGCTCCAGGGAGGGAGCGTGGGGGCGGGGGGGGCGGGGTGTAGACACCCCTCCCATCACGGCTGCCCCCTGGGTATCTAAGTGACCCCAGCCTGGGGATGTAGCTGGTGCCCCCTCATGTGGGTAGCTGCCCCTGGACTCCTCCCAGCATGCTGGGGCCCTGCCTCCCCTGGGTAGCTGATCCCCTCCCCTCTCTCCAGCCATCCGCAGGTATGGTAAGGATTTCCAGGCCGTGGCTGGGGTGATCGGCAACAAGACGCTGGCCCAGGTGAAAACCTTCTTCGTCAGCTACCGGCGCCGCTTCAACCTGGAGGAGGTGCTGCAGGAGTGGGAGGCTGAGCAGGGGGGGATCCCCAAGGGGCCGCTCCCCGCCCCATGACACCAAGAGCTCCAGTGTCTCACTGGCCAGCAGTGAGGACGACGATGAGGTGAGGAAGGGGTGAGACCCCTGACTTGTACCCACAGACCCCTCCAATCCCAGCCTAGCTGGTGCCCCTCAATCTAAACAGCAACCCCCTGCCATCCCAGCCATTCATTCTACCACACGCAGCCCCCACCTCTGCCATTTCCCTCAGTCTGACCAACGGCCCTCTGCCCTGCCAGCCCCAGGCACCCCACACACTCAGCTGAGCCCCGGCAGTCTGACCCACAGCCCCCAGCCCTGCCAGCCCTGGATGCCCCACATCCAGCCAAGGCCCATCAGTCCGACCCACGGCCCCCTCCCCTGCCAGTCCCAGGCACCCTGCATGGCTCCCCACTCACTCTGCTCTCTCCTTGCAGGTGCAGATCACAGCCGTGTCCCGCTCTGCCCAGCAGCAGCCGCAGCCCCCAGCGTCCAGTGCAGCAGCTCTGCCCTCTGCCTCCCCCCGGCTGCCACCCACCACGCTGTCGCAGCCTCCCCCCTTGCTGCGGCCCACGCTGCCCACAGCACCCACGCTGCACCGCCAGCCACCCCCCCTCCAGCAGGGTCGCTTCCTGCAGCCCAGACTGTCGCCCAACCAGCCACCCCCGCCACTCATCCGGCCTGCTGCCTCCCGCAACCATGGGCGGGGGCCCCAGCACCCCTCCTCACTGGTGGGCGTGGCTCTGGAGCCCCCTCCCCCGTCCTCCAGCTCCCTCTGAGTTGTGGGGGGAGGAGGACAGCTGAAGTCCCCTGCTTCCTTAGTGCCCTGGATCCTGCTTGGTTAAGGGGTCAGGGCCTTCATCTACCCGATAGTGACACACTAGGGGTCGCTCTAGGACACCCCCCCCCCCAGGGGAGGGGAGAGACTGAAGAACTTGCATTGGCTGAACCCAACCCCTCTGGGGAGCAGAGGACCCCCCAGGGTGGTCCAGTTGGTCTCTAGGCAAAATCGAGGAAGGGGCATGGGTACCAATGCCAGCTGTGGGGGTAGTGGGGGGGGGGGTTTTTTTTTACTTGTAGAGGGATCAGTTCAATGGAGTGGCAGCCCCCTGCTGGTGAGCCGTGCCCCATGCAGGACAGGGACCCCTCCTCACCCCCAGGAGCCTCAGCAAGGGGTGGGGAGGGGCTCCCTCCTGTGGCTGAATGAGCTGGGGGATGTATCTCCTGAGGGGGGGATGGGCACGGGAATGTTCTCCTGGCACTGGGGTGGGGGGAGCTGACACTGGCCCCCGGCTGGCAGAGCAGTTGCTGGGGGGGGGGGTGTTGTGTGTTGAAGGGCAGGAGTAGCACAAAGCCCCCCCCCAAATGGGGCACAGCTCCCTCACTTTGAGGGGCAGCACGGGCTCCCAGGGGGGACCTGAGTGCCGGGTTCCAGGTAAGGGGGTAACCAGCGATAACACTGGGTGAGGCCGCTGCGGGAGAGCTGGGGGGAGCAGCATTGAAGGGGCCTTAGAAGAAGCACAGAGCTGGGGAGTGGGGATCAGGCATTCCCCCTCCCCCATCTAGAGGAGAGCAGCTCAGTAGGCACCTGCACAGCTATGGAGACCCCCCCTTGCTTGGTGCATGCTGCTCTGCTGGGGGAAGGGGGGCTTTGGGCAATGGGGCATTTGTAGGCAGGGCTAGTAGCTGCAGCCCCAGGGGTGGGGTGGGGGAAGGTAGGAGCTGGGGGCAGGGAAGGCGGTTACGTTGATGTTGCATTTTGAATAAAAGTATTTTACTAGATGTGTCCCAAGTCCGTCCAAGTGTTGCCCCCCATCTCCCTCAGCCACCCTCCTGGCCCCCCCATTCCACCAAACATCAGCTGCCCCAATTCCTGCCCTGTGGAGGCGTCATGGACTCCCTGGAGCCTCCCACCCAACATTGCCTGGGGCAGGAAGGGCCTGTGCGTGGCCAATGGGCACACCTGGCTCTTGGGCTAGAGGTGAGCTGAGCCCACAACTCAGCGGGGGCACTTTCCCCCAGTGCCCAGGGCCAATGTCCCGCCCAAGCCTGGCCAAGGCAGAGACTGATGTGGGAGCCCCAGCAAGGATTTAGCCCCAAGCTTAGGCAAAGCTCTGGGAACAGCAGCCAGCTCCTCGGCCCTGGGCGGGCTGGGTCTGGCCCCTCCCTGCTGGATGCAGCAGGGGCCCAGACTAGCAGAGAAGGCAGGTGAGGAACCAGCTGTTACTGGACCAGCTTCTGCTGGGGGAGATACAAGCTCTGCTCTTCCCATCCGGAGCTCGGAAGGCTTGGCTGGCTCCCCCAACCCCCAGAGCTGGTCCAATACGAGCTATTGCCTCACCCACCTTGACACTGGGCTGGGGCATTAGAGTGGCTGCCCCTTGCAGCAGCCAGGCAGGTGGGGCCAAGGGCAGGATGGGAACCCATCAGCAGTTAGGGCCAAGAAAGGTGCATTCACTGTGGTGGGGACAGTCCAAGGGGCCAACACCCCTGGAGCTGATAGGCTAGAACCTGCTGCCATGGATTCCTGGTGCTGGGATGGGCCTGTACAACCAGCCCCTTGAGCCTGGGTGCTCAGGACAGGGGCCCTGCCAGTGCTAGGACACAGCCCAGGGTGAGGCTTGTGGCTCTAGGATCGTCCAGCTGGGGGCCTCCGCTGGGCTGGGCTGGGCTGGCCTGCAGCACCAAGGAGCCTGTGACTCCTGCACCTCTACAGCTCACTGTCAGGGTGCCTGGAAGAGGGGCAGTGTTGAGGCCCAACCCAACGTGTTTGGCTGAGCAAACCCTGGGCCCTCCACTAGCTGCAGAGCTCGGAGCAGGGCTGATGAACCCAGAACAGCCACATGAGGGGAGCCAAGACTCCCCCTAAAACCAGTATTGCTACAGCACCTTCCAGCCCAAGCTCAGGCCAAACCTCCACCCCCAGTGCTGGGGGGCTGTTTATATAGAGGATCCCTCACCTGCTGCTGCATTGCAGTTGCCTCTGGGGTAGTGCCCAGAGAGCCCCAGTTGTGCAGCTCCTTTGGGGTTGGGGAGGGCCAGCAGGAGGGACATGGGGGGCAGAGGAATACAAAACAGGAGGCCGCAGTGGCTCTTTCTAGAAAGTTTTAATCTAGAACCTGGAAAACTACATCGAATCACAGCTCTGCTCCAGGGCCCCAGCGGGGCCAAAGCCCTCCAGGAGGAGACAGTGGCAGGGCCCACCCCACCCCACCTGCAAGAAGGGGGCAGCATAGAGCCCATTCCCTGACCCACCAGCAGGGGGCAGCGTCAGGGCCAGAGCAGATTTTTTTGTTTGTTTTTTATTTAAAAAAAAAAAAAAAAGGCATTTTCTGATCAGAATAAAACAAAACAAAACAAAAAAAAACCACTCACAAAACCGAGGTATCAGTACAGATATATACAGGCTGGGAGGGGCAGAGATCGGGGGGGGGGGGGAAAGGGGGAGGAACAGCCCTCGGGGCAGGGAAGTACATTATTTAGCATCACAAGTGTGGCTTTGATGGATGGAGAAGCCTGGCGGGGGGGGGGGGGGGGTGATGTTAGTGCAGCCAGTGTAAAGGGGGCTGGGGGGAAGCATGGGAAATCCTACAGCCAGTGTTGCGGAGCGGGTAATGGAGCCAGTGCTAGGCCCTGAAACACTGGCTGAGGGGGCCCTGCTAAGCCAGGGCCAGCTGTGATTGGAGGGGGATGTTAGACCCTCTTCCCCCCTCTCCCCACCACACAGCTGCTGCCTTCCCCCTGCCTATTCTTGGCTTCAAGTACCTGTGGGGGCACCCCCCCCCCCGTATAATGCCTAACAAGAAAACAGGGGAGCAGCTCTGGGCTCAACCAGGACCGCAGCCATGTGGGCAAGGCCTCCCCTTCCCCCACCACTACTGGGGCAGAGGGGGAGCCAGAGCCAAGAACCAATGGCTGGAGAGTGGGAGGAGCCCCTGTTCCCAGGCCAGGTAACAGCCCTGCCCCCCCAGGGAATCATGTGGCATTTCCAAACAGCCCCCCCCACTGACAGGATCATCCAAAGTCCAGCATGGGGGACCCTGCAGCTCTGTGGCTCCCACAACTCCTTGTCCCTGGCACAGGGAACAGGACAGGGGCCAGGGCCAGGCACATGGGCTGGGGGAAGGTGTCACTCTAGCTCCCCATTGCTAGATAGAACCCAGGAGTCCTGACTCTCCCCCTCCCCGGAACTTTAGGCCCCTTCCACTGCTCAGGGTAGGCCCCCAGCAGTGCCCACTGCTGCTAGGGAACAAAGTGGGGGGTCCCACCCCCATCACTCAGCCAGTCCCAGGGGGCAGAGGGCACAGCGAAAGCCCTGGTGGGCACAGAGGGGGAAGCTGAGCTGCAGCTGGCAGATCCAGAGAAGGGCCCTCGCTGAGAGCTCAGGGCTCCCTCCTGACACCTGACAGCCCCTCCAATGTCCCCCAGGGACCCAGCTGTGCCCAATGCGGGCCAGGGCACCCTGCTCCAGGGCTGGCAGGGGGAGGGGGGTGGAGCCAGCCCTAGAGCTGGGGGGAAGAACACCAAAGCTGCAGTGCAGGTTAAAAACATTCTCTTTATTGTGTCTAAGACAGGGACTCAGCTCAGGGCACAGCCCCCCGGGGGAAGAGGCCTCAGACCCCTCCAGCCTGACGCCCCCACCCCTGTCCTGGGGGACATCACCCTGGGACCGGGGAGATTCGGTATGAACTATCCCCAATTGCAAGATGCACATGGGGTGTGTGTGTGTGTGTGGGGGGGGGGAATGCATCCATCTGCACCCTCCATCCAAGCAAGGGATAGGCAGTGGGGGAGAGGAGGCTGCAGCTAAGAACCTCCCCACCCCGATCAGGTCTCTGACATGGCACAGCTGGGGTCCCATTTGAAGGCTGGGGGAGCTACTGTCAGACCGAGGGGGACGGGGTGAGCTGGCGGAGGGAGCCTGTCAACCAAGTGCTCCAGGCTGGGGGGGAAGGGGAACTCACAGCGCAGCCGCAGCACCCCTCCCGCATTGCCCCCTCAGTGTGAGCAGATCTGGGGAGGGGCTTGTCCGCCTGGGCCCAATCACCCCCACTCAGGGCAGGGGCTCAGCCTGGGAGCTCTCATGCTACAGCCGGCTGGGGGAGAGGCTGCCAACAACCCCACCCCCATATTAATGCCCAATGGGGACACCCGCAGGAAGGTGGGGCCTGGCTTTCCCAGCTTCCTGCTGCTGCCCCAGCCTGTGGGAGCTGCCCTCAGTGCCCAGCACAGCAGGCCCAGCCCCAAGCAACCTGCCCCGTGGGGAAAGGGCAAGTCAGCATGTGCAGGAGGCTGGGTGAAAGGCATTGTGGGAAAGGGGGAGAGGTGAGGGGTGAAAGGCATTGTGGGAAAGGGGGGGGGCAGACTTCTCTGGCTTTTGAAGCACTTCTCTTTTTGGTAAGAGCTCCCGGCCAGCATGGCAGGCATATGAGGGGCAGTACCACGATTTGCTGGAGCCTGCATGCTGGCAGCAGCGGGGGGCAATGCTGCCCCCCAGCCCTCCCCCCGCCACCGTCTCTGCTGCCGCCCCCACCAGGGTATCAAAAAATAAACATTTCTCCAATTAATTACAATCCTGCGAGGGGAGGAGTGTGCGGTTCTGGGCCCCCCCATGCGCTCTGGGGGGTGCATGTCTGCACGGGAGGCAGCTGTGCCCCCCTCCCCTGGTGCATGGCCAGGGGGCATCTCGGCACAGCAGTGGGGGAGAGAAGGCATGTTTCTGCACCCCGTCCTGGTGCTCGGCTGTGGGTCCTTGCAAGGTGGGCAGAAGCGTCTCCAATGCCCCTCCCAGGCACACAGCTCGAGAGAGGAGGGTCTGCGTCTCAGTGCCCCCTGGCACACCGCCATGGGGAGATCCTGCAGCTCAGGATCTCCTCGTCCCAGCCCAGGGCACGTGGGGTGCAGCACAGCAGGGGGCTGGT